TGTGATCACTGCCTCTCTGTCCATGCTCTGAGATGAGTAAGTAACTCTCCCTCCTTTTTGCCCCTGTCATTTTTCAAACTTCTGCTTCCATGCTGTATCTCCATGGGCTTTTGTCCATGCTGTTGCTTTAAGGGTAGGGACTCTATTGCTTAATGCCCTCCAGTCCTTTCAGGAGCCAAACCCACCGATTTTTAAAATCCCATGTTTTAAGTACTGGTAGTTGTACAAACTCACGAGATTCAACCCTTCTTACTTTTAAAGCCATATGTTATGGGGATTTATCTTCCCTGTGAGGGCTTTCCAGTGTTAGTCTGCTTTTTGCTCTTCTGCACACCATGGGCTCCCTTCCCACTTCTGACAGTCACAGTCTTGTCTGATTCACTCCCAAACCTCATCTTCACCCTTCCTATCTTCTTTGATGTGGCCTCTTCTCCACCTTTAGTTGTGGAGTTTGTTCTGGCAGTCTTCAGGTTGATTTCTGGGTTATTCTTGCTGTTGTGAATGTTATCTAGTTATATCTGTGAGACAAGAAGAGCATAGGGTCCTCCTACTCCGCCATCCTTCCAGCCTCCAAACAATTTTTGATTTTTATCTTGTGTTTTTCTGGTTTTTTAAAATTTGTGTAGCTGTCTTCCAGAAATAAGAAATTGGTCTGTCCCTATATGTATTGTGTGTGTGTGTGTGTGTGTGTGTGTGTGCATGCACAAATGTATGAAATGACTAAGACCTTACTTCTGTGTCATCAAACTTCTTGGCAAAGCACCTAGAGAATGCTTTTGTTTATTGACATACAGAAATGTAGGCATCTTGAGCTTGAAAGACCTTTGAAGTGATCACATTAAATCTTAATAAACCATTTCACCAATTCACACAATAATCAGTTCACTCAACAAATATTTTTCAGCACTTACATATTAAAAACTATAGTTGGTGCCAGGAGGATAAAGATGAACAAATAAGAAATGCTTTTCAATGGAGAAGGCTCACATTCTAGTGGGTGAGGACATACAGACCACACACAAATGTCTGTGCAAGGAGGTTAGGTGAACACTCCAGGAATGCAGACTAAGAAGGTGCTCTCTGGGCTGACTCTTAGACAGTTTGCTTTCCCTCAACCACTGCAGTGTTTCTGCTTGAGCACCAGCAGTGCGTGTTGGAGAGCAAATGTTTTCCTACTGAGCCCAAACCCACCATCTCGTCTCTTCCATTATGGGTCCAGGTGTTGCCAAGCTTCACTTAGCTCCTTAGAGTTTGTCCTTCCACTCAAAGTCTTTCCCTTTTACAATGAAGCATTCTAAATTTGTATATTTCTCCTTCTCCCTGTTTTTTATTACATTGCTGCACTCTAGTATATCAATATGGTCCTTAAATTATACTTCCTAAACCTTTATAAAATTCTGCAGATATACTCAACTTTTGAAAAAGTGCAATGGGACTATCATCTCCTTTAACAAGACAAAACATTTGTGACTTCAAAGTCCAAGATCACATGAACACGTTTGTCACATCACATTCTCTTATTTAAATGATGAGTTAGATCCAGTCTTTTTCCAAAATAAGACGCCCAAGAAGTATTAAAAATCACAACAGTAAATAAATTAAAAATAAAAAGAGAAAAATAATGCAATGATAGTACGTTATATGGGCTGAGAGGTGAGGTTAGGGATATAAAATATGCCCTACACTGTGAGATTCAAGGAGCCTCACGAGCTTGCCAGAGCTGGAACATGGCATTGGTCTTAGGATGGTAGTAGCTCACTTTGGCTCAGGTTAAAATTTCAGTCAACTAAAATCCATATATATATATATATATATATATACATCCATATATATATATATACATACATATATATATATATATATACATACATATATATATATATATTATACAAATGACTTTGATGTCAAATACACCAATACTTTATTCTAGTTATATTTCATTTTACCAGTTTCTGTTTGATTATGTTATTCAAAAGCTTATGTGGCCTGTTTTTTTGCCATCTGTGGATTTACAAATTATGGGGTTTTTGTTGTTGTTGTTTGTTTGTTTGTTTGTTTGTTTTTGGATAGTCCTACAATTGCTTCAAGGCCAAGGGTGAAACAAAGTTTCCTTTTTCTGCTTAATGTTTATTTTGAATTGATTTTGTTCAATAACAGTTATATACAATTTTTTTTAAAGATTCATCAGATGATTTTCTCATCAAATAATTTACTAATATCTTTTTTAATAATTCACTAATATCTTATGGCATCATTTTAGCACTACCTTCAAAATATAAAACATTAGATTCCATAGTATTGACATGCTACTAAATCATATGAAAACAGAGAGCAATAGCATCTGGTCTATTAAGCAATTTTTAGTCATGTTAACTCAAAGTGTAGAGACTGCAAACCCATTCTGCAACATACTAAATCACTCTACTATGTTTTCATTTAAAAAAATTTGAGGTGGGTCTGTGTGGTTCAGTTGGTTAAGTGTCTGCCTTTGGCTCAGGTCATGATTACAGGGTCCTGGGATTGAGCCCAGTATCAGGATTCCTGCTCAACAGAATTCTGCTTCTCCTTCTGCCCGCTCCCTGCTCATGCTCCCTCTCTCTCAAATAAATAAATAAAACCTAAAAAAAAGTTGATATAATAAGTGAAAACAAGATAGTCGTGGGAAACTTTTAGAAACCCTTAATGGCCTTCCTATCATACACACTAAAAATGAACTGAGCAAGAACTGAACTAATTTCACTGATGATGTACAGCCCCAAAGGAGCTTAGAATCTTCTAGAAAGAAAAGCATAGCAACAAGTAGAAGGAGTAAGGTGCTGAAAATACAGCTGTGGTTTGGTGATATGTACAGAATAGAGTGGGAAGTAAAGAAAAGGAAGGTTCTTGGGAAGGATTTTGTAGAGATGTTTGATTTGAGTCAGATGTTCTTTAATAGGTAAGATAATAAGAGTATAACAGAAAGAGATAAAAGTATAGGCACAGGAAAGGAAGAAGGAGTTAAATAAGAGGTTTCTTATTTAGTGGATCAGGAATTTTGGAGCAGCTGATATAGACTTTAAGGAACTAATCTGGAGAGAGATAAAGCTGGGAAGTTTAGCAGGAACTGGGTCATGACAGTCATTGTGTACCATGCTGAAGGTTTAGAAGCTGAGTTTTCGAGAGGATTGCCCACGTTTCTATAGTTTTATGGCAAGATCCTGATAATTATGTTTCAATGTTTCTACTAAAAGCCAAAGTTGAAATATTCTAAATTGAAGTCATCCCCATCAGATAAGAATCCACTAAATTATGTTCCTCAAGTTCCTCAAATACAACCCAGCCTTGTTACTGTGTCCCTAGAAGCAGAGTAGTTGAATCTTTCTACTAATACTATCTTATCATTTATAACTCTTCACATAACATCCATCAAAATAAGTAATTTAAAATCAAATTTAGTAAAAAAAAAATGCATTGGTGAGTTTCCAATAAAAAGTTAGAATAAGATTACTGTAGGTTATGGACTGAGAGTTCACTTTACCAATATTCAAAGTTTCTACTGACATTTTCAATATTTCAATATTTCAAAATATACTCTAATTTACAAAATACATCCTAATTTAAATTTATCATTTAAGAATGCTTACACTTAGGCAGAAGTATGAGATTTTTCTAAAATAATAAATAGAACATGCAATTTACCTTTGAATATTTAAAAGGGAATCACAAGTTATAGGAACTCCATAATTTTTAACATACTATCTGTTAACAGACTTTTAAGGAAAAAAACAAAAAACAAAAAACAACCTCCTGCCTTCAAAATTACTGCAATTGTAGTTTATACTCAAGTTTATATATGAATATCAATTAAATCTACACATTTAAGCTTTACCTTTTCAAAACTTTAAATTTCTATTATTTAAAAATTTTGTTATAATCTATTATCAGTGGAATCCTTATATTAAGTACATATACCTTATATATGTACTTCTTATGGGAGAGATATATGTATAAGATATGTAAATATATATAAAATATATATATTACATATATACATCCTCAGAGGAAAAGAGCAAAAATAGCCACCAGTAAAAATGAAATTTGAAATAGCTTTGAAAGTATTTTACAAAATCCTTTGATTAAGGCAAATTGTGCATCTTTTTTATGAAATGCACATGTAATTAAAATTTTAGAAAAAGATTTGGTTTGTTTAGGTTCAGCATGCGTTGTTTATGCTACAGGTTAATGAAGATTATGGTTTTAAAGAGCATGTGCATTTTATTTTATAGAACAGGTACTTGTATTTTTTGTTTTTTAATAGAACAAGGAGGTGGTTGTTTTCCTTTGGGAAATCATGTTTTATGCATATTATAACATTTCAAATAATGAAATATTAATCTAAAAAATGTAAGTTTCCCTAAATAGTCTTTACATAGTTAATATGGGTTTCTAAAATAGATCAGTCTTAAAGACAACTGATCCACTAAAAGTTTTTACAGAGACAAACAATAAAATTTCATACATCTGGAACCACAGTTATATTCTAAACACAACTTGCTTATTTTTCAAATAAAGTCATCTCCAAATCTCCTTAGGAGGACAAGCCTCCTTCGAAATGGAAGGGGAAAGAAAACAGTTAAATAAAATAAACATAAGTGTCATTTTCACTGAAGTAGATTTCACACAAAAGCAACACAGGGCAACTGTTGACAATATCTCTTAAACAGCTGAATGGCATCTGCAAAGCCTGAAGATTTGAAAATATATATTTATACCAAATGTGTTTATAAAAATCTGTTTTGAGGTTTGTGAAAAATAAGTTCAATCTCCCTTTTCCCCCAAAGTATGCACGCTAAATATGCTAACTTACTGAATTCATCCTTCATGCAATTCCAGTTTATTAAAGAGGTTAAAAATTTATAAAACTCTGATGGGATATGGTTTTAATGCTTCATCACACTACCCATCATTTGCTTTTCAATCTAGATCAGAATGATCTTTCCTACTTCCCTGCAATCACCTACCTGCACAGCTAATATTTTCTTAATACTCTCTTGAGAGTCTGTCTGGAACTTGGCCAGCCTCATCTGGCTGTAGAGGACCACGAGTTTGAAGTGCTTCTGCCACACCTTGTGTATCCTTCTTTGCAGCTGACAGAGCTGAAGGGAAGAGGGAGGGGAAAAAACACAAGTCAGAGTAGGAGAGGAAATTAATGGCAGTGTTCAAGAAGAATGATGGAGGGAAATATAGAAAGCAGTCAATAGCCCATTCTGCACTGTACGGACCTGACAGGAATTTCACAGTCTCTTGATTTTTCAGCCCACTCATGTGCATTCATCAGAAACCAGTCACATCTGGCCGCCAGGATGGGGGGTTAATTTTCTCTAAATGCCTCAGCAGTTTTGTTCTAGCTGAGGCAAACTCTGTGACTGCAAAGCTGATGAGTAAAATATTTCTACTTCACCCAGTTTAACTCAAAACCGATAGCCTCGGGACATATTGAACCTTTCTTTAAAAAAAATAATCTTTTGAAGCTTTTTTGAATGGCACATCAGGTCAAGCCAAAGTTTAAAAATGCAACTTTGAGACTTTGATGGACACCATTGCTTCTTTTTTTTTCCTCATAAAGCTTACCATTGCTTGGCAATGTGTGCTTTAGAGCATGACAAAACTAAAGAGAATTAACTTAGCCATCAACTGCTGAGGGAGAACAATAACAGGGAAGAGATTTCCAGCAAGAACTCCCTATTAATCTACCTCCCTCTGACTGTGTGACATAGAAATATCTCACTGCACTAAGGTACAGTGGATACAATGTTTAGAGGTGAGACGTTTAATATTGCATCTTCACAGAAAAAGACTTCTCTTATGAGGCATACATTTTGGATATTTATACATACATTTTGGATATTTAATATAAAACCAAACAACAACAAACACGGTAGAAGCTTCACCAAGACAATGAACATGTGTCCCTCAACAGTTAACATAGACGCACCATCAAGAATCGTTATAATTAGGTTATTTTTGAAGAAATAAACTTCATAAAAATTAATGATAAAAGCCATATTAAAATATAATGTCACTGAAACCTCTTTTTATTGGTAATATGGATAGTTGTTCATGTTGACTTCCTCTTAGTATATTTTCTAGAATAAAAAATAAACACCAAAAATTTCATATCAGATGCCTTTACAACAGAATAAAAGTGTTAAAGAAGTATGATTTTTTTATGTTTTATTTATTGCTCTGGGTACTGGTTACATGTAAGGGATCCTATGCAAAACCTCAGCAGACTGTGCATGGATGACTTATGAACTTTTCTGGAAGCATATTTCAATAAAACAGCTTACCTAAAAACAACAGTTTTAAAAATAGTCACCTAGTATTTTATGTGAATTGTTTATAATCATTATTTTGATCCACTGTAATAAGCAACACAGAGGTATTTATGCAAGTCCACAGAATAATGAAACCACTATTCTTGGTTAACTTGTAAAAAAAGAATAACCTTGAACACTATTTGATTTTCAGCTTGCTAATGCTGAAATACATTACCTGGAATTTAAGGACATTTCAGATAATTTAGGCTATTGAATTCATGATTAATTCACTTTTTGAAGAGACAGTCTGTCATTATTAAATGATTTTCTGTGATATTTAATAGTTTAAATATAATACTGAAATATAAAATTAAAATAAATAAGTAAATATTCAAATATAATATTAAAATAATTTCTCCCCATGACAGCCACTGCAGGAGTATATTCTATATCTTAAAAGACTCACTAAGAAGTTAATACACTTTAGTCTATGCATTACACCATTATTATGATATCTACGAATATGACAAGGGCAAATAAGAGGAAGATGAGTTTTAGAATTCCTTAAACTGAAGGTAATTTTTTTTATAAGTAGGAGCTCTCAACATGTGAAAGGTTTTACAAGTGGGAGCTCATAAACCAAAGTGAACTGAGAATTAATGGTACCCTATCCACATCTTACATGAGGAGAAACAGCTGTATACAGTAAATCTATTTTGTTCAGTTTTCTGAATTCTAGCTTGAGGTAGCTACAAAGGTCTTAGATTAGTTCATACACATGTGTTAAGCTACTTAAGCAAAGAAGCTCCTTATGTATCAACTAAAAAAGAGTAATATCTCAAAAGTGGTTTTTTTTTTTCTAAATTTTTAAATTTATAGCTAATAGGCTCCTGAAAAAAGAACTGGGACAGAAAAAAAATGAAGGAATTCGTAGAGAGAATCAGCATCCAATAAAAGTAACATATATACATACATATCCACACTAAAGACAATGAGATGATCAATAAAATACATATATGGAAAAATATTTAAGGTGCTAGAAATGACAGTTGATTTGAACATGATGACAACTATTTTAAGAGAATGGTTATGATAAAAGCCCAATTTTAAGATGTTAGTAGAAAGTAATCACTCAATAAATACTGAAATTAACTCAATAAAGTGAACTGGTAAAATTTCAGTGGCAAAGCAAATAAGCGAGTAAGACATTCAAGAACTTGCAAATTAACGAGAGAAGAGTAAGATAAGCGAAGTGAATGTAAGAGACACAGAAATATGTAAAGGGGAAACTGAAGAGAGAGGATTCAGTTGTGAGTGGAAAAGTCACAGAATTTAGGTTGGAAAGTCAAAGGAACTGGAACAATTTTTGATATCACCCACTTCAATTAACCTAGTATTTCTGAAATGAAACTCTTCAAGGATTGCATTTTGAAATGTAATAATTTCTTCCTGAATTGATTATATTCCTACCCTCTCCTTCCAATTTTAGGGAACATAAGGTGAGATGAGGGAGTGGTGTTAGAGAAACAAAAAAGAACAGTAAGGGACACAAAACACACTGGATGGGGTTATGCAAAGGCACTGTAAGGACTTGCTGTGTACTTACGAAGTAAGGATGGAATTTAGAGGCGCTGATAGAGTAACTGGGTTGCTGCTTAGTATCCAGCACATATTACAAGAATTATGGAGGAGAATGGATACAGTCTCATAGAAAACTCAGAAGGAGCATATTGGAACAGGAAAAGAGTCATTCTGAAAAAAAGATCCTCAACTTCAGTGCCCTCAATTTTGTAGGCCCAGCCATAACCAAATTAGCACGGAAATATTATCTTACACCATTCATGTTCTCAGCATTGAAATTAGAACTTTCAAAGCATTCGAACTTTCAAAGCATCAATTTTCAGGTATTTTCTGTGGCTAGGTTGGAGTATACAGTTGTGTGGTTTACATTATGGAAGACACAAAAATAAAGCCTTATTATCCTAGTGTAAAAGAGATATTGGGGACACACTGTGAAGAATGGGGTAATATAGAGTTGAAGTACATTTGTTATTTACTGTTAGAGAAAAACAGTGTTCATAGATGTAATTTTAAAAATAGACCGTCAAATTATTGGATAATCCTCCCTTTGAGTGTAGGCAGGTCTTGCTGTCTTATAAAGAACAGAACAGGGCAGATAGTAGGCACTTACAAACGGGCACACACTCCCACACAAACTCCGAGGCTTCTGTCTTGGGTTTTCTCTCTCTCTAATTCTCTCAGATATTTTGATTTGGGAATAGCTAGCTCCCATGTCATGTAAGCAGCTCTGTAAAAGACCCACATGGTGAGGAATTGAAACTTCCTTTTGCCAACAACGCCCTGTGAGTGATCTTGAAAGCAGATTCTCCAGTCTCTTCAGATGACTGCCACCCTGACCAACTTGATTGCAACCTTGTAGGAGACTGTGAGCCAAATCACCCATCTATACAGCTCCCAGTTCTTGTCTTTCAGAAACTTTGTGAGAAAATAAATGTTTATTAGCTTAAGCTGCTAAATTGGAGACAATTTTTTTGCAGCAATATTTAATGATAGATTTTAAACTCTTTTTCTTTCTTCTCTCTTTGCCTAGCAAGGAAATAATTTACTATCCATATTTTCTGAATGTAAAGCAAAAGTGATCTCCTAATTCACAGTTTGGTTTAAGACTGAAGCTGAAAATGATTTATTAGTAATAAGAGAGTGATTAATAAATACTTATTGATTGATAGAATGTAGTTTGTACCATCTAGGAGCTCATTAATTGAAGACAGCGTAAAGGAACTATAATTTAATAGTTCCAGAAATTTAAAAATGGTTCATTATCAGCACATATTTTCATGTAATACATCAATATATCAAAGAAAAAATAATCATCCCCAAGAGAAGTCGATATGAATAAACACAGAATGAAAACAATCAGCAATGAAAAAATTATCTTAGCAAACTAGGAATAGGAACAGAAGAAAATTTCTTTAACCTGATAAAGGTATAAACCCACAACTTTGAACAAATATTTTAGTAAATAGAGATACTTGAGGACATTCCCATAAATGTTAGGAAAAATGCAGAAAGTCTATCAGGAATCAGTACCTCTTTTCCAAATTTTACTGCAGATACTGCCAAACAATAAGAAAATGAAAGAAAATAGGTATAAGAGGAAGAATGTCTACACAAAAAATTAAAGAGGTTCTACAAATCAACAATAGGAGGTAATGATAGAGTTTAGGAACTTTTTTTGCCTACAACATCAGCACTGAAAAGAATTAAAAAATTAATTGTAACTAATTTTGAATCATGATTTTAAAATACCATTCATAATCACAATACAAAATGTAAGATATCTAGGTTTCAATCCAGTAAAGAATATGTAGGGAAATATACAGAGAAAGTTAAAAAAATTTTAAAAATATAAAGTAATAACTAAATAAATGGAGAGGTATAGCCTGTCCACATATGTAAAAAGAATGTTATGGGCAGGTCAATTTTTCACAAAGTAGTCTACAATCCCATCAGGTTTCATAGAACTTGATCTAAAACTCATACAGAAGAATAAGGGACTGAGAATAGCTAAGACAATTGTGAAATAGAAGAACAAGCTAAAAAAACCCCGACATACAATATATACAGATGTAGGAACTAACAGTAATGTCAACATTGGAATGGATAAGCATTTGGTCAGAAAAGACAGATGAACAAAACATTCATATAAAATATTTAAGTCTGAAATATGACACAGCACTTAAATTAGTGGAGAAAGGATGGCATAACTGTTTTTCTCTCTATAAGTGTCTAAAATAAAGTTAGATCCTTAACTT